AGAGGATTAATCATACCATACAAACCACTCGCATCGAACTCCATCTCGAGATAGCTCAACGGCTAAGGCGTGAAACTAATGACCTGGAAGTCTGTGGTTCGAATCCAACCCTGGCTTTGCGATTACTCGTAAAGGTAACCTGGCAAAATTTCACTACTGATGCTTCCGTCCGATTGCACGTTAGCTGTGCGCCATAGCTGCGTGTCACCACTGTCATTTGCTCCAACATCAACTCATCAATCTGAACGATGAAGAAAAATTAGGGATCAGATTGATATTGAGCCATGTGTATCGTTTGAGGAAACAATTGAGTGGAGCATAAAGTGTGAAAGTGATCGATCCAGTACGACCCCAAAACGATGGGTAAATTCGACTGTAGTAGTGAGCACGTGCAACACAATCTATAATATATGCCTGTTACTAAATGTAAAAAGATAGTAATATTTATGGTCAACTCTGAGTTCAGAAAGCCTTTGTGAAAATTGACCTAAAATCTACCAGAGATCAGACAGAAGGAAATTCACTGTCCCGTCCAAAACAGAAAATACCTTTTCTTGCGATTAAAAACACACTTCGAATGACAGTACGTACGGATGCGAGCTGGAAATGTCAGGCGTGACTGGAACACGTGGCTGCAATGCCGACAGCAAAATCAAAGCACTGTGCTTCATCGATTACCAACGACAACAGTGGTTTTACGCCATGTATATTTGTACAACTGGTCCGTACATTATGCCACACATTAACAGACAGCGCATCAGTGGTTTTGAAGCGAAAATAGAGATAGAGACTGAAACGGAGCGACGAACTTAACGAGAAGAATGTCGTGATACTAGAGAGAAGCAAACACGCCGAAAAAGATCGGTTATGTGCCTTGTTCAATCAGGTCCCTAATCACATGCATTCACCGTCCTCGTATTCCAGCCAGAAAATCGAACAGAGGGTAATTAAAATATCAAATTTCTCGCGTTACACTTTCATGTAGTTGATTGACCTCTATGAAGGTTCTAGCAAATCGGCCTAGGTGAACTAAGTGGAGCGTGTCTAGTCAATCGGTGACCGGTCATTACCAAGATGTAACCAGCTGAAAGATACCACACCATACAGTCCTAAGATGTAGCGTCACGCTTCTGTATTGCTTCTAAGTCGCTGGAAACGCTCCGTAAGTAGGGGTAACCACATGTAGACAGTCGTTGCGCATTCTGTCTACACAGTGCCTAGCATTCGGAACCTGACAGATGCGTAATATGGCCGTCATTTTTGTAATTAGGGATCTCAAACGTGCATTTTCGTGAGCCTGACCGTTGAAAGACAAAATAAATTCGTTTCGTCGAAGACGATGAGTTGCCGGGGGACATGGCATAAGACAGAATTTGGAGTTGAACAAGTTGAAAGCACAACAGGTTCAAAATATGCGACCTCTGTAATGACCATTCATGTCATAAACTCTCTCCGCTTAGGTCTTTATGACTGCAAACCAGTCAAGCTCGTGCATCCAAGCTGTTGCCTTTAATGCATAGCTCCCTCCCCAATCCCTCCACTTGACAGCCCACTGACAGTGCTGGATTTATGCACCAATTTATCATCGCCTGCTTGCAACGCGCAGTTGCCTACCCCCACCCCCAATCATCGGTGAACGAAACTGCGGCAGCTACAACCACTGTACGACGAGTGCGCGGTTCTTACAGCTGACAATGATGATGATGATGAAGCTATAGTACGACAACTTGGTTGCCATCAAATATCACCGTCTCTAGCCCGGTTATGTTAGGCTCCAAGTCTAGGGAACTTTATTACGGAGACTGTTCTTCAGTCAGATCATTTCGAGCCGCTGTTTTGACTGTTATCTGTCTAGGTGTGTAAGCGCTAGGTGGAAGACACCATGCAAGGAAGCGCAAAACATTTTCGAGTTGATAAACCCTCTGTATGCCAGCATTAAGCTCAGTTTGGAGAATAAAAACGGAGGCATTCCGCTCCTTGATATTCTAATTCAACGTACGACCGACGGCATCATTCAACTGAAAGAATTTTACAAGCACACCAGCTTCATACGACAGGATGTAAGCGTTTCCTGAGCAAAATGTTGAGCCGTTGAGCCCCACGGATTTGCACTAAGTCGAAACGCAATAACCGTAGACATAAGCTTGAGTCTAACGGCTATCCCGAGATGTTCCAAAATTGGAGGGCGTCACAACTGTCCCCAAACGTGACGTCCTCATTATTCTACCGTTCAACTGGGACGATGCCAGCAACAACACAACGTCGTCTGATAGCTGCGATGCAGAGGACCTACTACCAGATAGGTCTTTGTTCACAAGACAAATCATGTTTCAGTGTTACCAGTCGAAGTTCGATTACCATCGTTCGCTAAATCCAACATCACTTGCCGATTCATGTGTGGGCAAATGGTCAGCTATCTAGACAGAACGGAACAGCAGCTACGACTGGTGGTGGTGAGGATATGCAGTCAGCTGGACCAATTGAAATAACCAAAAAACATCAAAGCCAAGTAGGATCACAGCTTACACTGGGGGTCTCATCAGTTGACTGCCATGCGATCCAGAAACTGCGACCCAATGGTTCATTACAGCGAGCACTTGAGTTCTGAAATTCGCTGAAGCCATTGCTATTCAAAAATGGGAGTCGGATTCCGTGTAAGCAAAAACAGCATTTCGTTTCCACGAGAGACTCAACTGAATCTCTCGTGAAAACCAAATTGATTTGCGAATGAGTGTATTTCTCAAAAACAGTGCAATTTGGGTTCAGATAGATCATAAGGTTGATGGAAACTCGGGGACTGCGCCTACCTGATGAGCCTTAACAAGGGTGAAACCGATCATGGGCTGTCGAAGAGTTTTCAGCAACTTTGTGAGTAGTTTTCCTTTTGAAAACATTTCGTTTCGTTGGCGATACCGCGGTAAATTGTAGAACAAGCCTTTGACATTGTAATTTCGCCTTTTTAAATTAATTTATTCCTGTAATCTGTAGCACGCACCTAATAAGATACAACAAAACAAACCCGACATGTTGCGTAAAACTGCGCTGTTGCGTTCCAGCTTCAAATTCTCTACGGGAAAATGCTGTTCTACGTTTCTAAAGAGACCAAGACGTTCCTGCTTCTCCAAAAAAATTCGCAACATCCAGAATGCTGGTAACACGCTGGATCAGAGAAACGTCGCATCCGGACAGCCAATTGGGTAGTAAGGTACTGCGTAAGAATTCAGACACAGAGACGCTGGTAATTTCGAAAAGATGGGGGAAGCCGTATTATATAACTAGTCCACTGTCTTCCGCGCCTAAACCTGAGTGGCGGAAACCTGGCCATGGATAAAAGTTGATATAGCAGAAGGGAATGAAGTATGTTACGAAACGATCAGGTGCTATTCGCCTTCCAGAGTTGGATCCACGTGTCCCACCCTGTTCTTGGCTGGATACACTGAATGACACGCCGGCTAAATAATCACTATTTGGGAGCTGCACAAACGCAAGCAGAAGTGAAGGAATTACCTACCTGAACGCGCGCTGAAGATTCCTTCCGAATCATGACGGAACGTTTGCAAGCCAATTGTGAAGCTCGGTAAACAGAACAACTGTCACCTGATCACCAAAGCTACCAACATTCATACAATTTTACCAACTTGCATCTAAATCACTCACATTTGAACGGTCCGCCCCCCGTCGTGGCTGGTTTCTTATGGTTGTCCCCCTTCCCTGTAGGCGTGGACTAACCAGAATAACATCCAGAGGAATGAAGGACTGTTTAGTGAGAGCGACCAGAATGCAAGCTGATGCATTCAGTAGTTTGAATGTACACCGAATCCTGACGATCGCGTTCTGACCGAAGCCAGTACACAATGTAACAGGCACGCTTGTCCTAGATCGCGCTTGGTTTGTCAACCACATCTTCGTACGGCGACTATTCAGAACTCCAAGAACAAACTGTATTGTTGTGGTTTTTTTAGCGTGCAGGCGGCTAACCAGACATTATCAGTCAACTGATCGTGCGGCGAGCGAATGTGCACAAAATGTCCTAACCCACTCTAACTATGACCACACTGGAGTTGAAGGAAGCTCTTCTCAAGCCGTCATACTTTTCACAAACCTGATACGCTCCGGAGAGCGGCGACTATCCATAACCCGAACAAGTTTAGCCCTCCTTGAACAAAACAGCAGAAGTTAGGCAAGCTAAGAACGAAGACTATCCTGTCAGGACTATGACCAGCGGAGAGCAGAAAAAGCAATAAAAAGCAGGAGATGAATGCGGGTTGGAAGCCAATAATAAGGACATTTTAGTGAGAAAAGAATAAAGTGAACAGGACACAAGAAACAATTGCAAACAGAAATGGCTTTAGTGCTGCATGAGGCTAAAACCGTTTAGTTCAGTTCTCGACCTACACCCGTGTATGTATCTGTATGCAGTTTTTTGCTCTCATTCCTACTTGAGAAATAGCTAATCGTTCCAACCGACAAATGTACTCGACTGGAAATTGTTGTACATCCGTATCGTAAATTAAATTCAGGAGTAAGGTATTAACACCTCCATGAAACTCGACCACCAAGGAGCCGATTGTGAATAAATACAGGATTGTTCCAATGCAATATACCAGTTCGAAGAAACAAACCCTACTAATCCAAATGGGACAGTTCCTTGATGTTTAACTCCCTGAGAGAAAGCACCACAACGTGAGTGATTCATGTCATCCTTCAAGATCCATATATTTTCTGCGACTCCAGAGAGTTGGGGGCGAGATGGCTCGGTGGTTAGAGCGCAAATTTACCTGACCAGAAGTCCGTTGTTCGAGCCCGACTTCTATCTCTCGACTTCCCCTGTCTAGACTTGGGCAACCTGGCAGCCCGTGTGCTTCCACTGGGTGGCATGGTAGCCAGGCACCGAAAGGGTGTTACATCCCAACGAATTTTCATACATTTCACTCCAGAGAGTTTGTCGTAAGCACTCTGGTACAGTACCACACAACTTTAGTGAACTTTTTCATCCAGGATCTAACCCAAACTGGCTGGATACTCACCAGGCTTTTTACAGTCTCACCCCCAGATTTCTTTCGACAAGCTATACGATGCAGAGAAGTGCTGTTCACCCTTATTGGGAATCATCAGCAGTGCATATCTGATGAAACTAGACGGAGCTTCGAATCAGCGACCTCCCGTCTACGAACTAAACAGTTAACCGTTCAACCACAAGCGGCTAATTAGTAGTGCGATCAACCCAAAGTAATGTCCCCCGTCTTTCGGTCACGGGACCCATATGACGTGACCACGTGATGCGAGCAAAAAAACCAACGGCTGTCGGTTTCCCGATAATCAAGAATGCCTTAGCTGCTGTATAAAAAATTATCCTTGTGATGACTTATCGAGTTCGGTAGTTCATATTTAATTTTGGCTTGGCGAAAAAGCAACTAGTTCCTCATGATCTACACAACGAAAATGAAGATCACTGTTCAGGTTTACCATATATGGCTGAATCAGACAAATGGAAAAATCCAATCCCACACTCTTTGACTGCTGAGAAACATTCGGGTAAAAACAACAGCATTACCCTAAAACAGATGGCACTTGAAGGCACTCTGTGCACCAGAAAACAAACATTCTGGAATCCACCCGAGGCGTTTTCTGAAGAAGTACGGTATTTTTAACATCAGGTATGAAACAGATAAAGAGTGGGATTAAATAGAATAAAGTAGACAGTTCCAAATCATTTCGGAACCCGGGGGGGGGGGCACATAAGAACCATTCAGGGTAAGAATCAAACACAACCGCGGAGCGAACCGATTGATCGGAGAGAAATCCGAAAAGAAGTTTTCTGTCGGGAAGGAATTTCTCACCCGGTATGGGACACGATGTTCGAAGGCTAGGAATTAGTCGTTTAACTACCAAACCTTATTTCAAACCAAGTTGTACTGCAAGCTCTCGAAGTGGAAGAACGTTCCGGGACACAATCCTACGCAACAATTCACCAAAAAAAATTGAGAACGAGCGAGTTAGGTATCTGGCATGATCCTGACTTACCGACAATTATGATGGCAAATAGCGGAATAGGAATACCATTGATCCGGCCAGTGCCTGTAAAGATGTGACACACAAAACACCAGTTAGAATTGTGGATGTATATATTTCAAACTGAAGCTTACGAAAAGTGACAAGTTGTATCAGTTAAAAGGACCATAGTGAATGCAGCTCCACCGGTTTCGCTCAGTGGCTGTAACATATCAGGCCGCAGAAAACAGTATCCGGATTACAACCGGATGAATTAACCTTATTCTCGTTCAGACCACTCAAATTTAAGGGGAAGAATTTCTCCTCTTTCGAAATAACTCAGAATGGCTCACTCCGGATGCTTGTGCGGGCGACTGTGAGCACAAACAGACAAGAGTATGACGTTCAGCCGTGGACTAAACAACCCGCAGTTTACTCAGGATGATTCAAAACTGTGATCGGATATTGATCCATGCATGTGCGGTATCCCGGACAGTAAACAAGGTCATACAGTCTTTTGACTGCGCTTAATCTGAGTGCGCACCCATTATCGCAAAGTTCCCAAAAACAACTACCGAAAGGTATATAATTCGTCATTCACTACACGCATGCCAGAAATGACTGAAGCGAGCGCATAAACCCGTGGCTGCTCAATTACGACGAAAAGACAGAGAAAGGATAGCTCACCAAAAACAGGAGAAAGGGATGATGTTCCACCTGGAGGCCAACGGGATGTGAATGATCCACGCGTTCAAAAAACTTATTGAAAGCGCAGTAGAGAACGGTGGCTGTGTTCGTTCTCGAGGGCACAAACTTTGATCACAACAGTCATCGCTCTGTGACTCGGTACCAACCATTCTTTCGGATCACAAACGCGGACAAAAACTGACCACATCGCGACTAGCTATGAGTGGTGGGCATGTGTGGAAGTCTGTCGCTCAGACTGAACTGCTACTCGTGTAAAATTCAACCACCCGTTAGTCTTTGGATAATTATCTACGATGTTTTCGAGAAATACACTCATTTGCAAATCAATTTGGTTTTCACGAGAGACTCAACTGAATCTCTCGTTTGTGATATTCAGTTGAGTCTCTCATGAAAACCTAATTGATTTGCAAATGAGTGTATTTCTCGAAAAGAGTCCAATTTGGGTTCAAGTAGAACATAAGACTGACGGAAACTTGGGAACTGTGCCTACTTGATGAGCCCCAAGAAGGGTGAAACCGGTCGTGAGCTGTCGAAGGGTTTTCAGCAACCTTGTGAGTAGTTTCCTTCATGAAAATTTCTACGATGTTGATTGGCTAAGAGCGATAAAGCGTACAAGTAAATGTGAATAGGTTGTCTAAACCCCGGGTTTTGAGTACCATAACCTACAAATGATGTATAAACCGCGGTACGTAACCACACAGCGGAACAACACCGGAGGCATAATTGCGTCTCACCGATCTAAGAACTTGAGATCATCACTAGGTTTCTGCGGACTCCAGCCAGCTCTGACGTGTGTGTTACCAGTAACATGCATGACGCGGTGAGCTGCTCCTTGAAATGAAGAATCGCGAAGAAGTCTCGTTAGAACATGCTTCATAAATAAAAGACAGCGCTCTCACAGAAAACCGTTGTAGGTTGTCTCACCTCACCCGCGCTGTTAACGGGAAACAACTCGGTGCTAACGACTCAACCCTAGATGTGGTTACCTAGAAAGTTGGACAAAACACTCATATGTAGTCCAAGTGACCACTCGTAACAGGTAGTTTATCCACACACAACTATGGTTTGTCTCTCTTAAGGCTTCAATACAAAAGTGCAACGAAGGAGCGCCTATTTTTTTTAGCGTAATTGTAAACTAACAGATGCCTTGGGAGGATCCGGGTTTAAAATGATTCCGGAAATTACTGGTTGACGAAACAAGAGAAAAGGCTCAGATATTTCACCGGACAGTATCTTACACAGATAGTTGTTTTCGTCAGAATCGTCGAAGCAGTTATCGATCCCGTCGCAGGTGAGACTTTCAGGAATGCAACGACTTCGATCGCTCCAGCAGCGAAACGTACCGGATGGGCAGTTGAAAGAAGGTCCAATCACTAGAATAAAGGACAAGGTAGTTAACAGAACATTTATTCGCATTGCGTCTCTTACTGTTGGACTTCGACAGACACTATCTCTGAACTCATCATTCCAAATCCAAGGCACAGTCATGTGGTACCAGTTTAGTTAGTCAATACGTCGGCCGGTCAACACGTGACCACGTGATGTGGATTTTGCGATTGAAGGACGCGTGGCGCTATATCCTGTCGAAATGCGAGTTAATCACCCTGCTGATAAGCTGTTCTTGGTCAAACGGTTAGGTGTTCAAACCACTAGCCAGAAGGCTCCTTGAGCTTTCTTGAGATGCACCCTGTTGATCATAAGGAGGAAACAGCTCGGAATTGTAGCAAAAACTGGCTTTACTTACAAGATGAAGTCTTCTTTAGAATTCCCAACTTTTCCCACCAAGTTTAGCTATTTACTTTACTGTATCACGTTAGTTTGTATCTGGTTCCAAGTTTGACTATGAAATGGAAGCAGCTCGACTGAACGGCTAGCCCAGCTTACCCATATGTGCAACCATTTGAACACCCCACCGTCCATGATTTGTACAAGCAGACGCATTCAAATTCCACAACTCGTGGTCTGCCTAGTACCCAGACCTCAACTGACCTTGCCAGATCCTATCTACCGTGTGGTAGGTACCGTGAGGAATAAATGTCCTAGAGTTAGGCAACACTGAATTTGTCCTATGAAATCTGAACCTTTTTCTATCATCCCTCTACAAGGTGCCCAACGCTAATGAAAAGACGGGGGTCTCGCGAAGAAATAGGCAGGCAACGAATGACCCAATGATAGTGATATCATCCCTTCTGAGGAGGGGGATGGTGATGGGATGCTATAGTGGAGCAATAGATAGGCCAAAGGGGGGAGGCAACGTAGTTGTGCTTGCATTTGTGGCTGTCGTCGACCAGCATACCCATTCGAGCTGCGATCGGTTCACTGTCCAGAAAAATACATTGCATTCTAGTTGGACCAGTTTATGGTGGTTTGAGTTAGTATATACAAGTTTACGCAGCAAAAGCCCACTCATTGGTTCCGGTCTTGTTTTTTAAACAAACTAAGTCTGCTTTAGGACGCTGCTGTTTGTTCGAGTTTAATCCAAAGGTTTTTGGTCCAAGGGTTACCTCAATGAGACCTAATGATTGCGTTGTCTTTGGTTACGGAAACCAGTCAATGAAAGCTGATCAAGTTTGCCGTGTATCCACATCACAGTACTGGTGAAAACGTAATTGAGCTAAACCCATGTACAAAATGCTGCTTACTGAAAGGGATCTGTTTGTCGTAGTTTCTGGTGCTTTAATCGAACTGGCACAACAGACTATTGTCTATTGTGCAGGAACTTGTGTTGCTACAAAAATAGCCCGCTCGAAGACAGACGTTATGACACTTATGGTCTTGGATAGACTTGACACCAAAACCTGTTTGCTGAAGATGTCCACACAAGGCCTATATGACTGGACACTGTACCATTTAGCATGGGAACCGGACAACTTTGTGGAGCTGTCATAGCACATCACTAGTAAAAATAAATTTGGACTGAGACTCATGTCCAAAAAGTCGCATCAGGACTTGTAACCGCAGAAACAACTGTGAATGAACTCCGAATGACATACTGAATTGCGGGAGAAGTTGAACGATTGGCAATAGATTCTTCGACATCGTGCCTAGCGGAGGTATCATCAACAGGCAGGCTAGTTTCCAAGATTCGAAGCGGAATTCACACTTCTGGAATAAAAGTCTTCGACCTTCTCCCAGTGAACGCCAAACAGATACCCGCAAGCTGGTAGCAATTAAACAAAGTAAATTAGTTCCTTGGCTATTTTTTGTGCACAGTGATCCTTTCGGACAGATCACCCAACAAGAGGGGTAGTTGGCCTACTCTGGAGATGGCAATTTTTCGGAAGGAGTGCGTATTAAACTGTGTCCCACAGCGAAGGCCATCATGTGCTCTTCAGGGAAGTTGACATTCTTACGGTTATTAATGCAATATTACATGCGTTTTGCTTTAGCATTTTGTGGATGAGATGTCTCAGTGGTTAGAGCGCGAATTCACTGCCCGGAAGGTCCGTGTTTCAAATCTGACCTCAGCCTCTCGACTTACCCTATCTAGGCTTGGACAACCTGGCAATATCCCAACCCTCGCGCTCCCCTCGTGTGGCGTGGCAGCTAGGCACCGGGAGGTTGCTACGACTGAACGATTATCTTTCTTACCGTTAACATTTGCGGTTTCACTCTTCACTTGACTGACACATGTCGAGAATCAATAGCGTCGTATACATGGACTTAGGGTGCCGACTGGCCCAGTAGTTTGATGTCATGTTAGTTCCAGGCCAAAAAACGAATGCCACCGTGCTGCTGGTACAGAAAATCAATTCGATGGGAATCGTGGTACTATATACCCAAAATGCACGTGAATACTTCAGGCATGTCTGTGGAATCAGTATCACGAAGTATGTGGCAAGCGTCGCTGAAATCTTTGTGAACCGACAACACGCGACTATCTGAAATAAAGAGCTAAAAAAAAGCATCGCGATTTTACTGGTGAAAAATTCCTGGGGAATAAATCTATGGTTCAACCAGTAACTTGTGTAAACAAGACTGGTGAATATTCTTCGTCCTGTTTGAACCACAAGTGAATCGAAGCCGTTGGATAAACAGATGAACCCACTTAAAATACAGGTTCTGTTATAATTAAATCCAGAAATCTGTATTCCTGCGGCAATGCACAACTGATCCACCACAAGTAAGTGTATACTGGACTTGGCAGCGAAGTATAAAAGCCTATGCCATCAAACTCAGCTGCGCTGGTCATTGCCGTCTTCCTTGATGGGGACCCCGAGACGGGCCATATCAATGGTTGTCAGGCGGGCCAGTTTCGCCTTCAATGGCGCTCATGCACCCAAACTATTGCCTTCAATGCATAGATCCCTTCCCAATCCCCCCACTTAACAGTCCACCTACAGTGCTGTATTTACGCACTGATTTATCCGCTCCCACCTTCAATGCGCAGTTACCCATCCCAACTCCCCAGATCATCGGTGAACGAAACTGTGGCAGCTACAGCCACTGTACGACAAGTACGCGGTTATTACAGCTGACAATGATGAGGATGACGATGATATTGGGCGCACACTTAGCATACTAAATATCATTCAGTATGTTGTGATGATTTTCTTTCGTAATTTTGATACTGATTAATACGAAATACCTCAATAGGTACAAACATGTACGGCTTGGCTATGAGGTAGTCAAAAAGACTACCTCAATCTATATTGATTTTCCGTAGTCCGATTAGGCTTAGTCTGTAACTTCCGGATAACATAGATAGTGTGCAAAATTTTTGGAATGATTGCCCTACTACCCCGCATCGCTGGAATGAGTACATGATTTCGAACAAATAACTGAAAAGTGAACAGAAAAGCGTCCATCATGTGACATATGAATGTACTTCTAAGCCCGGAAATGCAGTCGCACTTATTTCTCGAGACACTTCAGAGCAACTGAGTAATCCGTTAAAATAGGCACTCCATCGTCCTAGGATGTAAGCTTCGCTTTAAGTCCCAGGATTAACGTTGTAAGCTATTCACCACTATCTGACTACGAAAGCTTCATAACAAATCAACTAACATACGTTATGTATTTTGTAAAGGACACTGTCGCTCACGTGAAGCACATGCTGAAATCACTCTATTCGAGATAGCTGTTAATTTAAAGCTCCCTGTCGTACTGTGCGATGCCATGCCGTAATTTATCGTCGGTGGTAAGAATTGGGTTTCGATACGATAAGCGCACCGAAAAACAACTTGCTGACCCGGTCGATTAGTAGGAGTTGAATGAAAAAGTTTATGTCCAGCTTTCTTAAATTTACAGTGAGTTACAGGTTCAAGTAAAGCCAACGTAACCATAATTCTACAGAAGATGCCAGTGGGTCAACCTAGTTAAAAGAGAGCACGACAAGTTTACTACTTTGAGAACAATATGAGATAGCAAATGGCTGAAAATTTGTTCAGTATGAAGTGTCAGTAGGTCTACTTTCGAATTATCAACCCCAGTTCATATTCATTCCGCTAAGAAAGGGGAACTGATCAAGTGTAGCAAGGGAACACCGTGTCAAGGCTTGGGCAGGCTCAGAACTACCCGACACTGAGTAACAAAGTCTAAATTAATTAGGCTTGATTTGGTGAACTAGTGACGGTATGATGAAATTCAAACGTCAGCTACTTTACTTTGGTTCCCAACCGGTAAGATAGCTGTATAGATGTCACAAGGGACCACGTGGAGGGTTGTGAGTGATACATATAATGTGGTTGCAAACTTCCCACGGGATAGCCGCTATTCACTGAGATCTTCTGAGGGTGGCGCTGGAGGTTTCTGGTGAGTGGAGCGACAACAAGACCAAATATTTCCTCCTGCTCAAAGGCCTCACTGTTCTTCACTAAATGCCAATAAAACTCTCGAGATGACACGAATCTTGAAGATTCTTAACAGAAATCTAACAGAACTTGTTATGAGATTAGTTTATCTTGAGAAATCCGCAGAGTTTGAGACATTTCGCCATAATTTGAAATTTGCTTAGTTACCTTAAACTCACATCACGTTATCTCTAAGTATCTATGTGGAAGTGAAAGTATTCTTGATAGGAAGATATAAGAAAACTTCAACAGGAGAAGGGAATGCTCCATGAAAAATCGCTCAACTCCAGAGTAATCAATACTGCAATCACAAACAGAAAAAGCGATTTCAAGAAAAGCGGAATAAGCGAGCACGAGTGAATAAACTGCTTGGCACCTAGGTCAAGAATAGTATAGGGGACAAAGTTCAACCATATGTACTCAAGAGAAATGACGTTTGAATGAAGGCTACGGAATATCAACGTTGAAATAAATCAACTGTGACTCACAGAAACTGGTAATAATGAGGGCATAAGAGACATCCGTCAAATCCGAGTTCATAGGCTCGAAAATCATTTCGATTCGTAGGCCTGGTGCTGAAGTGCGTACAACCTGTTCGAGCATTTTCTCATAATTTGTGCAGTCAGAACGGAACTGTGGAATAAAAAAGTGTTGAAGGTGAGACAGCAGATGAAAGAAAGGCAATCAGACGCGAGCCACGTGTAGGGTAAACAGAGATCGGCAAGTGGAATTCGCACCAGTCTTTCACTGAAGTGAGGCAAATATGATACAGATGGGATTGGATACCTTCAGCGTCTTGAGACTCAAGGTTACGTCTACCTGGGTGACACTTTAAAACGTTCCACTGTGGCAAGTACTTCGCACATTGTTCTTTATTAATGAAATTTTGGTTCAATCCACGTTTCTTATCTTACATGCTCAAGTGCAGGGAATTCCTTGACTTTCGAACTTCCGTTTCCCTGTTACTAATACCTGTGGACAAGAAGCACTAGCACCGTGGACACGTGCAAATGTCAGCAAACAGTGGGCAAACTTCACCGACACACTCCCAGTATAGGGTGAGAAATCCTGGTCAAGAACCAGTTCGGGCATCCGTTGTGGATACTCGCGTATGTGCATGAGGCATATCTTACAGTTTCTTATAAAACTGCACCCAGAATAGATAAGACTCCAGAAGCATTCGTGATCTAGTCTACTTAGACACGCTGTGCAATACTGGTTTTGCTAAGACAAGAGGAATATATTTCACATAAGGCATATGTCGATTAATGAGTCCTGAATGACGTCACGAAATCCAGAGCATATTTATTGCCAAGACTGATGAGGACTCTTGTGAGAATGCAAGTACTGCAGTGTCGATGTCTCTTCCAGTGATGACGAAAAGTGCGCAGAGTCACTACCAAGCTTTGTCAACGGCTTTAAATAAATCAACCTGCCCAAGCCACTAATATTGCGGGCATCGCTAGCCTGGTTCTATTCGAGGCTTGACTCGCAATCAAGATATTCGCACACGTTGACAAGAGGTAGCAACGAGCGCAAGCTTTTCATTTGAAATTGTTCTAAGTTGACGAAGTACAGTCTGGTCTTCAATTGGTTGTCATCAAGTTTCAGAGTGTAACAAGAGAAGTCTTCCATAATCCATAACCGCCTTTCATGGCTAGGTTGACTTGGCGGTATCACAGCTCCCGTACCTTCTGTGCGTTGCAGGACAAAAAGTACTAAAGTATCAAAGCTGCACGATACACGGCCCTTTTGTCTCAATAAATTACATTTTCGACGTCTGATGTAGTATAAGTTGCCTAGTATTGTGCGTTTCCCCAATACGTGTACGGCGAATTCTGCTAAAACATAATCATTGTCAGTCTTTGCGTGGATAAAAATTAAATGGATAACAAAATCAAACTCTTCATTCTGAAGTCTACAGGGATACCAGGGGTTTCAGGATCTTGAAGCCTCAATATTTTGGAGACAATAAATGCACATAAAGGCAAACAGCTACTTCCGAAATGCTGATTAGAGTAGATTATACTAGCAGAAGTTCGCCAAATAACGGTAGAGTATAAACAACACAGGCCAGGTCTGCTAACTTATCCTAGGGTATTGTTTCGGCAATTTCGCGACACTGGTGTTTGCGCCCATGAAGACATCAGTGAAAACAAAGAGAGGGGAAGAAAGAGGGGATAAAAACGATTAACCTCATTACTTGCGGGAGAATTTTCGGGTAGTTCAATGTGAACCCTGAAGCAACCGGAAGTCTTGAAATATAGAGAGTTAAATATATCTACAAATATAACGAGCATTCTCGCTTGACCAAGTAGTGTGGGAGAACGGTGAAGCAAAAACTAGAGAAAACCGCAATTTCGGTCGACCTACTCCGTGACACTGCTCAAATACTCATGTGAATCTGTGATCAGTACATCTCTTACCTGGACGAAAACCTACGTAGTGCCCCCAAACTGATTCTCACGTGATGATGTGAGTGATTAGACACCACATACTGGAAATGAGTCTCTCGGGAGAGTGCTCGGGATGATCACCGTCCGTAAATTTTTCAAACAAACATACAGTAAGTGGTTGATTATAGTTTTCAGAATCTCGCCCGTGTTTCTAAATTTATTCAAACGTTTAAGTCAAGGCAGAACACCAAGCCACTATCTCCCTTGAATAATAATTGTGCAGGATCGTCTGCGCATACGGCCTCATGGCAGGACAAAATGTTGTCACTTCTGGAATGCACACGGGCTCGAAGGATCTGGTGAGGGGAGTGAGCATACACACACAAGCCCCTTCAAACTGTTATTGAATACATTCCACTGAATCAACAAGAGGACAGGCATAATCATATTGTCACCTCACAACTAGTTGCTTGAATCTCGCGTGTGGATCCACAAATTTACAAAAACACCGTCGTTAATCCAACCTTCTGCTTGCATCAGGACTCCGTCTGCATGCATGTCACTATGTGGACTGACACTGAGTGGAAATCCTAACTGAATTACGCTCGTTTAAGGGATGACAGTGACTCCCAAGATCTAGAATTATTGGTGAAAGCTCAGGAATATCATCATATGAATCCTTGCTGTAGGCATTGTGTTGTTCATTTTGCCCTTGTTTTAACTGATGGCTCTCAGGTTTGCAATCTTTGGACCGTCGTGCAAGTCTGTTGCACGAGGTTGTTTAAAATTTTGGACGGATAAAGGTTTACCTTATTCAGCTAAAAGTCTATTACTCAGACATTTCAGTGGTTAACACCGTAGTGAAGCAGGGTCCGGGTTGGAATATTTGTGAAACGGATCTAGACGCACCAGCGAAACTGTTTTGAGGGCTGGGGTTGTCCCGAAAGACGAAAAACTCAAGATCAAGACAATGCGGCTAAACAAGGAACAGATTCATATAATTAGGATCTGGATCCTATCCTACACGTGACTTAAGCGTACCCATTTAGTGTGTGATCCAAAACATCTGAGAACTACGTTGCCACCAACAAGATTCGCAAAGGCTCCCCAGAAAGCATTTCACATATGGACCTCAAAGCTGTTGTGCACAGAGATCGGTCAGTCATGAGATGAGGATAACTATGATGCCAGTTATTTACCGAAAGAGAAGTGTATGGGGTTGAAAAAGATGACACGAGTGGCACCTGAACGGTAAACGTTATATGTGACATACAGCACAAGATGAAATGCAAGGCTACGCGGCCCCTAACAGTGTAGCTCAGACAGGGTTGTGCCAGCCAAAATTCAAATATTGAGTGGTGTTAGCATGAATCCCCACCATTGTTTTAGTCGGCATCGGCTGCATACAAAAGCAGGTATGACTAGAAGCTAGAAATGCGGTGTAAACATAGAATATACCCAAGTTCAAACCAAATAAGAAAAAAAACAGAACGCACCAAGTCACCTCCAGCCCTGGGTAAATCTCATGATGACGCAACTTTTAAATGGGATAGACTCCCAGCGCCTCTGTCTCAAGTTGATATTACAATGCCATTGCATCAGTCGGTGCATTTTTAGATCATCTCTGTGTCCGCAATTCATGGAATGGCAGCAAAAAAGGAGATAGATGCCCCTTAAGCCTTTTCTATATCTGAACATAGCAGAAAATGGAAAGATCATGCTTAGTGTAGATGGAAAGTTATTCTCATTCACAGTAACTACGGTATCACCTTTGTAGCCTGCAGGCCTCAATCGTACCATCGTCAAGGCTCCTCAGTGGTGAAATAAAGTCGTGAAAAACAATACTCAATCGGCCGTAAACCCCTTGAAGCCAGGCTCTACACCACACACGCCAGGCCAACAGGTAATCTGCTTAACTTCAAACCCTAAAACCACCAATCACTATATCTACAGCGCTTCTGACCTCGAGCTGACACCGTGAGCCTCAAGCAATCGCCACAGCAAAAACGGTCTCCGGATTCTCGCGCGAAAATCGTTCAGCTGTAGCAACTTTTAGGTGCCCAACTGCCATGCAACCAGAAGGAAGCACAAGAGCTAAGATGCTACCAGTTTGCCAAGGTCTAGACAGGGGAATTCGAAAGGCGGATTTGAACTCGAACTGGCCTTCCGGTTAGTACATCCATCGTGTGCAACCAGATATCAAGAACACCCCCGTCCACGTCACAAGGTTGCTTAAACTACTAACGAATACATGCGACGCTTCTGGTTAGTCGTGAGACTCCTTAAAAAACTGTTTGCAATGCCACGAAAGCCGCACAGCTTGTATTAAGTCCAAGCCTGATGCCCATGGTTAATGGAAACTCAATGACGCCTTAAACACTCCGAATGAGCAGAAGCGGATTCCGCATATACGCAGACCGACAGACCTGCCGGCTCTCAACTAAACGACACTAAGAAGGCTACGTGGTGGTCTCATGCTGGTGCTCCAAACATCAACAAATCCCAGACATTCCCACTACAGCCTGCTTCTTCTCAAAATGACTAAACCGCCGAAGACGTTCTCTTATCTTTAAACACCAACACGGCTACCCTAACTTAAGACGTTAGCTCTCCATCTTTTTTACGGTTCCAGTTCATCCGATGTAACCACTGATTCTGTAATAAGTTTTTATTTGCGTGCCTCGGAATCCGGTCGGTGAAGCCTATCTATGCCGAAAGGCTGAGAAGCACTGTACATCTGTTTCATTCTTGTTGGGAATAATTAGCGCTGCGCATCTTAACAAACTCAGCGGGTTCCGAATCTGCGGCTGTCGGGCCAGCGGTTGAACGGTTTACCGTTTGGCCAAGAGTGGTTGACCAATAGTGTGATTAGCTCTCAATAAGACAGGACATAACCCTACGGAAAACCACATCACGTGGTCACGTATTAGCTAGCTCCTCGACCGATGGCTACTCAGAAGGAAGTTTTACACTCCACCGAAATAATAATTCCGCTAAGTCGCTTACCGTTTCGTAATATGAGGGTGATTGAGCACCCTGTTATAAGCACGCAAAAGTTCCGAGCGTTTTAATATCGCCAGGTGGGTGGCCGAGAAGACTGTAGTATCTAACTGAACAATTTAACGTGCTCAATAATTAATGAAGACGAGCGCCTCCCAACATCAGACTCTGAGACAATTAGGAAGGCGAACAATTAGAAAAGACAGTAATAGTGGTCCTTACAACGGCGACGCCTGCCAACTCAATGTTTAAAAAAAGTTTGAAGATTTACAAAAAATAATCACAATCTTCTGGTTACCCTAGTGTGAAACCGTGCTTACCAGTTGCTTGGGGTCAGCAGGTACAACCATCGGAACACGTAAATTGGGGTCAGTATCATCGATCAGCTCTTCTCTGACGGACGAGTATTCATTAATTGTCAAGGTCGGACAACTGTTAGCCTTTCTGGGGAGCAAAAGCGAACTGAACCGCATGCTGAGATACTGGCCGCTTTCAGATGGTGCAAAATAGCATGTCGTTCTCCCGGGTAAACGAGAATTTGCAACAAACGCACCAGCAAGCGTGATTGGGTTTTCGGGCAGACCAAAACAATCTTGCGTATCAACTGGCCAAAAGTTAAGAAGCTTATGGAATACCAACCTTTTACCGTATTGGATGAACAGTGAAAAAGCATAAGCAGCAAAACGGTGGACCCCAAAGAAAAACTGACGCATTGCCGCATCGCGCGGCAAACCAAATTCAACTAAGGCGCTATTTACTGTGCAGCCTGAAGGACCAATTTTGGAGTTTATTCAGAAGATTACAAGTTCAGGCTTACACTCGCAGCAAACGGGAGAGCACTGCGCCGGAGATAAAATGCCGGACAAACAGATTTCCCGGTTGATCCACAGGTGAGCGCGATTGTTGACCACGGTGTGAAAGGAGGGGAGTTCCTTCGGTTTCCTTTTTCAAATTCACGGATTCAAGCAATGATACACAGGATCGAGGCATTTGCCCAAGATCCACAGGTGCGATTGTTGACCACGGTGTGAAAGGAGGGGAGTTCCTTCGGTTTCCTTTTTCAAATTCACGGATTCAAGCAATGATACATACACACGAGGCATTTGCCCAAGTTTCCCGGGTCGGTTTTGTTCTTGTCGGTCAGCGGCTGTCGTTCACCTGAAAGGCACAAGTGAAAAAAGGGTGCAGCACTACTCTTCATGCTCTCAGCGCGGGGCAGTATGCTCGCCAGCGCGAGGATTCGCATAAATAAATGTCTAATAGTGCTTTAAATTGGGTTCCAGAAGGAGCGTGTACAACCGTCGGAGGGCGGTCATTCCACGCAGCTACTACCCGAAATGAGAAGAAATTTTGTCTAATGAATGTGCGTGCCCTGAGCTTGAAAATTTTCTTACTATGTCCTCGCCGGGTGTTTGCTGGGTCAACG